ATTATAGTAACATGCAAACTATGATATAGTATCCCAACTTCTTTAAGTGCTGAATATTATTCCGTTACCTGAATGTGCAGCTCATTCCCATGCTGAGGGATGTGGTGGCTACTTCCAAGTTTTGGCAGTTAATGAATAAGCTGCTTATGAACATCCATGTTCAGGTTTATGTGGGAGCACAAGTTTTCAATTCTGTTAGGTAAATGCAAAGGAATGTGATGTGCCAGGTCATGTGATTTTTAAAAAAAGGTTTATTTTTATAAGAAACTACCAAACTGTGCTCCAGAGTGCCTGTGCCATTCTGCATTCTCACCAGCATGAATGAGGTGTCCTCTTGCTATTCATTCGTACCAGCCTTTGCCGGTCTCGATGTTCTCGATTTTGACCATCCTAATAGATGTGCAGGATAATGGTATTTCCTTTTAATTTGCATTTCCTCAATAACATAGAATTTTGAACATCGTTTCTTATATTTATTTGCCATATGTATATCTTCTTTGGTGAGGTGTTCTACTAAGACCTTGTGCCTATTTTTTAATCAGATTGTTTAGTTTTTTTGATTTTTGAGTTTGAAGAATAATTCTTTGTATACTTTGGATATCAGTCATGTATCTGCTCTGATTTTGCAAATATTTTCTCCTGGTCTGACTTGATTTTTAATCTCTTGATGGTGTCTTTCATTGAGAAGAAATTTCAAATATGTTGCAGCTTAAAGGGTGAAGGATGTTTTTTTCAAGCTTTAAAACTTTTATTCTATCCTAAACAATATTGTTTAAAATTGATCTTATTCCTTAAGCAATGCCCTTCCTGGACATTAAAGTTTAATTGCTCTGTAATCTACAAATACCTCTAATAAAAGTTTAATAGACACAAAGGAACATGTTTGTTTCATTGTAATAATCTTGGGGTGTTTATACTACTTTTGAAGTTTTACGTGCTGGTAACCTGAAGGAGTAGAAAATGCCTCCCACTGTGTAGCAGAACTTCGGGTTTTGTTCCAGTTTTAGTTGCGCCTCTCTGGTATCTTTTGCAACAGGAACAGCAGGAAATGTGTTTTATGTTGATTGTTGAATTGTTTCGTTTGTTGCGCTTCCTCTAAAATAAGCTGTATAAATGGGAGGAGGCTGAGGAAGTCCTCAAGAGTCAAGAAGGTCTAAGAGAGCAGAGATGCTTTCATGAGGAATGTGTTTCTATTTTAGTCATAAATTTTCCACATGCTAGATTTTATTCCGTAGGATTTGATAACGTGATTATTGCTAGTCAAGCCAAGGGAAGAAACTGCAGGTGTAGACCAAGCTCTTCCTTCTGAACCTCTTTTGAGTATTCTCCATCCTGCTTCAACCTTTTTAGACTTCCTACAGATGTGGTCATTGTTACAACTCCTAAAATATCTTCCAATGAGTTCATAAATGTAGTAAATACCATCCATGTTAAGTGGATACTACACAGCAAATCAGTGCATTTTGACTATTTCAGCAATTGACTTTACTAACTTGGATTAACTCAGTAGTCTTTTAGGAAATGCTAAATCAAGAAAATGAAAAGTATTCTTTCTAAATATTATTTTAAATGCAATAGAATTGGAGGCTTTTTAAAATAGCACGTAGCCTATAATGTGGGTATAAAATATATGACTAGAATATGTCTGAACTTGTTTCAGTGTTAAAGACTTTTAAAAGTATTTCAGAGAGACATCTAAGATAATAGAAGGAAAACAGACTTTGGGGTAACCTGTTGTTTTCCAAGTCTAGATCTACCTTTTCTAGGACTCAGGACAGATTCTTTAAGGTAATTGTGATTTGGTTCTCTCATCTATTTATATAAGGTAATAATTGTGATCTCAGAATTATTTTGACCAGCAAATGAGTTAATACAAGAAGCACTTGATGTATTACAATACAGATACTCAGTAATTTCCACTTTTACCTTAAAATGAGAGGTTGATCAGCAAGCCCTCTTTGCCGCATGCCTTCCAAAGAACACTGTACATGCACTGTACATGAGCATCTCTTTTATTTCCTTTAGGACCTTCTGCTATTAGTTTAGTCCCACCTTACAAATAAGGAAAGTAATGATGAGAAGGAGGACCTTGCCCACTGTCAGGTAACTAAAGTATCAGTGCTATTAGCAAATTGAAGGTCCTTGTTTGTAACCCATTTCACACCATGTGTTCTCAGAAGTAACTGAAAGAAGTGGGTGTGTGCGAGTGTGTGTCTTTTTGAGACTGGGTCTCCCTGCAGCCCCAGCAGCCTGAAACTCACTATGCAGACCAGGCTGATTTGGGTCTCACAGAGATCCTCTACCTCCTGCCTCAGATTAAATGTGTCCACCACCATGCCCAGCTAGAAGAGGGTACATGTTATACAGCCTCAGGTCAGAATGTGAAACTCACTGGGAAGGAAAATGTTAAGAAAGGAAACCATGAATGAGGACGAAAGTATTAGAAACTTCCAAAGCAGTGGCAGTGTGCCTCTGGGAGCTGTAGAAAGAGCTCAGGCAAGGGTGACTAATGAGAGACAGCCAAGGAGAGTGGAGTGTGTGAGTCATGTGAGCTTTCCCTTTGGCAACTGCACACTTGCATTAAGCAAAAGAGAGGGAAGATTCCTGAAGAGACTGTCACAGCATTAATTTATGAGTCTGAGGAGGATTTTCCCTAATTGGGCTTGTTTTCTATTTATCTTTTTTTTCTAGATTATTCCATCCCAAAATATTTTACATGCCACTCCCTTATCTTACTTGATTCATATTTTAGGCATATTTTTTATTATTAATTTTCTTGATTTGTCAACCTTAGTCAGGGTACTGTTGCCTAGTTCAGAATTGAAGTACTAGAAAAAACAGTTTAAAATCAGGATGATAAACTAGAGTAAAATTGGAAAGCTTAGCTTAATGATGGTATCTCACTGTAAGAAGCTGCTTTCTTTTCTTTTAACCAACTTTAATATATTGATAACTAATTTTATTTTTCCTTCCTATCTCCCTTCCTTTCTCTCTTGAGGAGAAGAATTTTAAAGACAGATATTTCTCCTGAAGGAACTCAGAGTTTAGTATCCGATACAAAAAGGGCCATGGTAAAAGCAAGAAAACAAATAAGAGAACATGAAATTCTCTGGCACAGAGGACAGAGATCTAATTAAGCTACACAGATATTTTAACTAAGCTTTAAAAGCCGTGACAGAGCTAGGAAAAGCATTCTAGACAGAGGAACACCCCAAGGAAGGCACAGAGTACCTCAGGCCATTGTTGCAGACTGAACAGGCGTAGGCCTTTTGCAGACTCTCACACTGTCTGCTGCAGAAAAATGATTCATAGCATTGTTTCTAAGAGAGGAATTACAGTTTTAATCAGTAGCTCCTGAGCAGCTAGTCTCACTAATGCTAAGGAAGGCCATGAATCAGACATTCTCCAGGCTGAGGACAAGGCTAAAGTTCAGCCTGGGAGAGCACATTCTACCTTTGTGACTCTCTGTGTGCAGGAAGTTGCTTTCATTTTATAGATCACCCCCCACTTGTTTATTTGGGGCTATTTTTCTGTTTTTGATTGCTACATTATATAGTTGTCCTTTGATTCTTTTAGTAATAGATTTTATTTATTGAGCTGGTACCATGTACCAGGCACTGTTGTATGCTCCTTGTGTGTTGCAGCATACCTAATAGCTTTCTTTTCTTGTGGCTTTCCTTAATGGTCTAGGCAAATTACTTATGTGTTGCAGAGATCAAAATTCAAGTAGCTACCACTAGCTACAGGGTCAGCTGGAAAAGTATGAACTAGCATGAGTAGAAACAGCCAACGGAGAGCAAGAGTGCTCCACACACCCTTTGTCTCATTCACCTATTTTATCACCTCCTGCTTTCATTTTTTTCTTTTTTCTTTTCAATCCAGTTATTTTTCTTTGAAGATCAAAAATTCTTTAAATATTAAAATTCTTCTGTTATATTTGATATATATTGAAGTTTTATGAAGAATAAGCTGCATCTTAGGTTTTCGGTTTTTGTGTAGAGTGCCATTGTATCTGTTTTAGCATTGTAAAGATAATTTTACAGGGGGAACGTTTACTCTGTGTGCATTATCATTCAGCAGCACATCGTATGCCAGAGGTATAATCTTTGATCGTTCATTTCCTTTGTTCCTATTTTAAGATATTAACATTATGAGTCAAATGGGGATTGTTTAATTTACCTAAATTGAAACTTTTCAATTATAGTAAGTCCTTCAAAAATCATACAGCATAGAATCATTTTGATACAGGCAGTTAGGATAGTTCACTATCTGAGTTCGATTTCCAGCAGCCTTGTAAAAGTCAAGTGTGGCAGCATGTGGCTGTAACTTCAAGCCTGGGAGAGGCTTGATCCCAGGGCTCACTAGCCTGTCAACAAAACAGCAAGCTCTAGGTTCATTGAGAAACCCTGTCTCAAAAAAATAAAGGGGAAATTGATAGAGGAAATCACCCAAGGCACTCTGGCTTTTACACACTCACACACGGGTGGGCATACATACTCATGCATACATGTACACACACAATAAATAAAAATAGGCTGTCAGTGTGAAAATAAAAGCAGTCACTTACCTGCATATTTACAAAAATGATGGCAGAATTGGCTAGAAAAGAGCATAATTGGATAGAATTGCATAATTGGATAGGAGACACATCAGGCAGCTTACAGTCACCTGTAACTCCAGCTCCAGGGGATCTGATGCCCTCTTCTGGCCTCTGCAAGCACACATGTGTGACATACATGCACATAGACACATACACATGTATTTTTTAAAAAATTTTTAAAAAGAAAGAAAAGAAGCAATTACCAACCTTAATAAAGAACGGTAGATTATATACCTGTAAACACCCAAGAACACCAGCAAATACGCACCTATGGATGAGTAAGAGGATGAGTGAATGAGTAAACTGACAGATGAGACAGGAAAATAGCTCTAAATTAAAACTAATAATTATGTTTCAATATTATGTTGTCTAAAAATTCATTAACTTTTTTAAAATTAAGGTTGACAGATTTGCAATGGAACTAGAACGGAACCGGAATTTGAACAATACCATAGTGCACGTTGACATGGATGCTTTCTATGCAGCTGTAGAGATGAGGGACAATCCAGAATTAAAGGATAAACCCATTGCTGTGGGGTCAATGAGTATGCTGGTAAGTAGGTGAAGATCAAACAGAAATTTCATAGGATATTCAAGTAAGGCTAGTGAGCTTTACCAGTTTGCTGAATAATTTTCTAGGTTTCTTACATATGTGCTCAGTTAGTGAACCTTTTCAATATTACTGAAGGTACTAATTTTTATTTCCATTTCACAAAAAAAACAAACTCAGACAATAACTTGCCTGAAGTTACAAACTCAGTAATATAGCACAGTGACATTGTATCTTTGCATTGCAAATTAAAATTTTCAAAAGCTTTTTAAATCAAAGAGTTGAAAAAAAAAAAAAAAACATTATGCTCAGCCAGAGGTTTTCAAACTAGCTTGCAGGCCACATCCAGCCTGTCACATTTTTGTAAATAACTTTCTTGGAACAGTCATAGTTGTTTATTACTGTCCTATTAAAAGAGCATAATTGGATAGAATTGAATAATTGTAACATAAACCATATAATCTTCAAAACCTAAAGTGATTATTTACTCTCTGAACTTCAACAGAAAACATATGCCAAACCTATTCTAGAGTGACATAGTTCATTAATATATTTAGAATGCAATTGTTTTTTTCTGTAACTCAAGACTCTCTTCCTTTTCTGATTACAATGTTGCTTTTTATTTTCACTGTCCTAAATTAAGGTAAAGGTAACCATGAAACCTGCCTGTGGCTAAAAACATGTTGGAAATTATAAGTAGCAGCTAGAATAAATAGGTTTTGGTGACACAGAAAAATAGTAGAGAAACAAGGAAAGTTCTTCCCTGTCGCTGATTCCTTCAAATACCTTAGAGAACTGTAAACCTACTTCCTACTATTATTTTATTATGAAACCATAATCTTTCATGGGCAAGTAAGCAACTGACCCATCTGATTCTGAAACAATATTTGATGAAGCAGTATTCCCCTTCCTTACAAACCAACAATTTTTTAATAAAGAATATATAGCACTATTTATGATTGTATATGTGGATAATTACACACACACAAACACACTTTTTGTAGCTCTGTTTGAACTAAACCCACTGCTTTTGAAATCTACAAATATTTTCTGACCAACAATTTCTATTCCATTAAAAGTTATTTCCAAATTCAAAATGATTATTTTCTATATTTAAACAGAGATCTTAATCCCTTTTATGTGCTAAACTAATAGATTTCCCTTCTGAAGGGAGTTGAAGTACAATTGTTTTAGACTTAGGACAAGTTAGTGGGAATGATAGTACATTCTTGACTAATATGTTACAGTAGAAATTTTTGGTGAATTTGGTGGATTTTTGAAATGTTCTGAGTTGGCACTAAGAATTGAAACTCTAGACTCTGCAACATCTTCCATTGTTGCATAAGCAACCCCTTCTTAATAAATAACAGTGTATTTTGCCTCATGATTCTTCAATTTACAGAGTTCAGTAGGGGCTCCACTCTGTTTCCTGGGGTTAGCACTATTTAACTGAGGCTGGGATTTCCAAAATGACTTTACTCGGGTCTAGCACTTCAACTAAGGTGATTGGAATGTCTTCCAATCTTTGAATTTCCTCATCTCCATGTGATACCTTTTCATTTAGTAATGTAACTATAAGTAATTATAGTTTAGTAATTATACTAAATACGTTAACAGTGGTGGTGGACTCACTCCCTCTCCCAGAAAAGCAGAAGCTGCAGACTTCTTAAGATGAAGGCATCCAAAGACTCACATTGTGTTACTTCCTTCACATTCTTTCAGTTTAAATAGTCATAAGACTGATCACTTGGGAAAAGAAACTAGAATCCACCTTTTCCTAAGAATAAGTGTAAAAATATTGTGACTGCAGTTTACAGTGTACTACAAACCCCCAAACTGAGGAACTCATGCCTAAAGCTCCATTTCTACAATACAGCTAGGTTGCATATCAGTTTCATGGGATTTATTTATATATGAAGTACTTGTTTGCCTTCTAGTGCCATCTTACTTCCTCCTCCAGAGGACTAGGCAAGACTTAGTGTAGTTTGGAGTTCTGTCAAGATTTTCTGAAGTAATTCCATCATTCGATTGTCTGTCTTGCATTTCTTTGAGCTCTCACTTAGAATCCAAATATTTCCATTTGTGATAACATTTTTCTATAAATATTATGATCTACCACATTGACATGGACTGTTGGCAAACATCATCATGAATAGGAGTTATTCAATATTATCCTCTTTACATTCTCATACTTTTGAGTCTATTTGCTAGCCAAGACATTGTCACCAAAAAACATATTCAAGCTTTAAGATATAAAACTCATTTTTTTAAAAGATCTTTTCAAGGTTTAAGAACTTCATTTTAGAGACATAATTTTGCTGACCAGATACTAAGTCTTTAATTTTTTGTTCTAGGTAAAAAAATTCCAAAATTGCAAATAGTGCAAATTCTAAAAGTATACTACTAGTTAAGCATCCCTGATCCCAGAAATATGAAGTTTATTACTAAAAAATCTTGAGTTTTGGTCATGCACCTGCATGCACATGAATACGTATACATATACATTAAAAAATAGTTCTGGATTTTGAAAGATTTTAGATTTCAGATTTTCAGATCATGGATGGTTAACTAGTAAGAGCTCTTTAAATACTCTAAAATCTGAAAAACTAAATTCTGAAATACTTCTGGTCTCAAACATTTTGGATAAGGATATTCATTCTATGTTATATTGTAGTAATACTTTCTATACTATTACCTTATGTAACGTGTATACTATTGGTATTCTCTTAGTACTTTATATCTTTTCTGTATTATTTACTATTACTTTCATATAATATCCACTATATCCAGACTTAGATATATACTATATTATAGAATGCCTTAAAGCCATTAAAGTTTAGTTACTGGAAATGTTTTTTTTTAATGTTTTTTTTAAATGATTTATTTAATAACAACATACTTAGAAGAAGCATATCATTACAACACAATTGACATATTCAATAACGTTTTCCTGAGGTAGGATGCATCTCTTTCAAATTTGGCTGTAAATTTTTAGGTTTACAGTTGAATTATTACAGTTATTAAAAATTATTTTGAGCAGAATCTTGCTGTATAGAACAGGCTGACCTTGAACCACAAATGAGCAATTCTTCCTTTGTCTCCTGATGGCTGGAATTACAAATGTTCACCACCACACCTAATTTAAAAGAATTTTTTATTAGTACAGTCCTACTTAACACTTTGTATCACATTGTAAATTAAGGAGTAGCAGTGAGACAGGGCTATGGTTTCATGAGAAAGTCAAGATGTGGTTCAGGACAGTGGCTTATAAAAGAAATGCCCTTGAATTGAAAAATGCACATCAGTTATGTATTTCTTATGAATGCTCTGATCAATATGTCCACTTAGGAATGCTTATTTTTTCCCCATGCGGTCAATTTTCTTTCAGTCTACTTCAAATTATCATGCAAGAAGGTTTGGTGTTCGTGCAGCCATGCCAGGATTTATTGCTAAGAGACTCTGCCCACAACTTATTATAGTGCCCCCAAACTTTGACAAATATAGAGCTGTGAGTAAAGAGGTAAGTGAATGCCTCACCCTGCTTACATCCTTTCACTGGTTTTTCTGTCACCTACACTCAACTCCGAATGCCTTACAATGTCAAGATTTAGTCTTAGCTTATCCCTTTAGTGTCACTTCTTCAGCTTCTTTGGTGAGTACTGAGCTGTTTGTCGTTCCAGAGTACATCCTTCTGTTTCTCACTTGTCTTTTTCATCTGCTTAGAAAATATCTCTAAACTTGATATAACCTTAATTTATAATATAAAATTAATTCTCGTTAGCTTTTCTTAATGTGAAAAATACTTTTTTTCTAGGAAACCCTTATATTTTTAGTTTATAGAATCTATTCATCATTAATTTCAGTCTATTCTGAATAAATTTTTATCAGTTTTTTTAACTTTGTTTCATGCTGGCCTAGAACACAAGCCTGGGCTAACCTTAAACTTGTTTCAGTCTTCCTGTCTGCCTCTTGAGTACTGGAATTGCAGACATGGGTTACCATGCCTATCAGAACTTTTTTAAACAGTGACAAAATTCACTTAATTTGATCAGTTCCTTTGCTTGCTTCATAATTGTGTAGATCTGCTTGACTTTGTAATATCCAAGAAATAAAGAGAGAATAATCCATTCCTTTGAAAACTATCTGTGAAGTATAATGATTTGTTTACTTAAAATTCTAAACTGTCTTAAATAAAAAGCTATTATCATTTCTTGTTTTTTTTTTTTTTTTGGTTTTTTTGAGACAGGGTCTCCCTATAGCCCTAGCTGTCCTGGAACTTACTATGTGGACCAGGCTGGCCTTGAACTCACAGAGATCCGCCTGCCTCAGCCTCCTGAGTGCTGGGATTAAATTGCAGTTGACCTGTCATACAGTGCTGGATCTTAATTCTTGAGTTAAAATCGTGTATCACTTTTAGACTGCTGTTATAAAATGAGATATGTTAAAGACTACTGTCTGAGCAGGGTATGCTGGAGCATGCCTTAAAATCCAAGCACAGCTGGAGTCAGGGGAATCAAGAGTTGAAAGCCAGCCTCTACTATATAGAAAGTTTGAGGCAAGCCTGAGCTACATGTGACCCTTTATCAAAAAAGGAGAGAAGAAAAAGCACCTGTTTAAATACAGACACTTAAGAAAACTATGGCCTGCTACTTATTGCCATTTAGAGATGCAAGTGATCTTTAAATTAATTTATTTATATTCCACCTCATTTTCCCTAGAAATAACACCTCATTTTAAAATAGTTTTATTCTTTTTTTTAACTTAAAAAAAAACTTTATTGAGAATTTCATACATGCATATAAGGTGTTTTGATCAAATCCACAGCCACTCCCTCCCCTCCAACTCCTCCCATATCTCCCCATAACTTCTTTCTGACAAACTTGTGTACTCTTTTCTCCCTTCCCTCCTTCCTTTCTCTCTCTTTCTTTCTCCCTTTCTTTCTCTCTTCCTTCCTCTCTCTTTCTCTTTCTTTTCTTTCTCTCTCTCTCTCCCTCCCTCTCTCTTACTTTCTTTATTAGCCTTTTTGCTACTCTAACATTCCCCTCCTCTGAAGAGGTAACCCTAAAATCTTTTAGGGATTAGATAAGAGCTTCCAAATACATTTTTGGCCTTTGGAACAGAGTATGTTGCTAACAGTCCCAAGGACATTTTGACTTTTAGCCAAGAAACTGGTTAATTTTCTTTGGGGTCTTTTTACCCTAACTGCCTAGCTAATTCCTACCTCCTATTCTTATCACACCATCCTCTGAAGAGGTTACCTGAATTGCTGATAGGGAATCCACTCTGGCTTCTTCCATGCTGAACAGGGATGCAGGGTGAGGCAATTGGAGTACCCCTTCAGTGGGTCTATCTAAAAGACTCCCAAATTGCATAACTCTTATCTTTAGGGAGAAAAGAAATTGACTGGTGAATAGGAGATGTGAAGGAGAAGTAAAGGCAAGAGTAATTAGCATTGCAAGTTCTGAACAGGGAACCAGAAAAAAGTCAGGCAAATTTCAAATGTTCCTATCAGAGTCCATTGGGATTTCTTGACAAGAGCTTCCAAAAGCATCCCTCTGTTGGGTTCCTCATCACTTTTCTTTTGTCTGCCAAGGCTGGACTCAAGAGTGATGGACTCAGGATTTGTTCTAAGGCACTTTGGTAGCTGTTGGAGTGGATAGAATTAGTGTCAGTTCCCTCTCAAAGGTTTCTAGATAGGGGGAGAGAACAAATTTTTCCATCGTTTTAGAACAATAGTGGGTTATCTCCCTTAGTTACAGGTGGGCACTAAAGTATTGCAGACCTGAGCAGCACTTTCTGCTTAGAAACAAAATCATCAATGAGAAATAATTGTTTAAATAACATTTTATATGGACTTAAGCCTAATGTCTGGGAAGTGTAATCCCTTGAACTCTTAAAGAAATATGCTGACCACTTTAATCTTTGGTTATACTTTCCTTTTGGGTGTTTAAGACAATACAGTTGGCCCAAATAAACTAGTTTATTTTTACTTTTCAAGTCATTTGAGGATCTGTTCCTAAGGGGTCACATGGGCTTGGGAGGAGCCCCTGGCTCCTTTCTTTTACCAGTTCCATCTATGTGAAGATAAATTAAGGGTCCTACTCAGCTGTGGCTGGCTTCACTTGGAAGCATGGAGGAAATGTTTCCTCTGTGTTTCCTCCTCTTTGTAAACTGGACACTGGTTCAAGTCCATCTGGTGGGGTCTCCATGGCCTCCCTGAGCAGGAATACAAATGACTCACCATAGTTACAGGACATTTTGAGAGATGCCCCATAGTCCCCTGGAACTGAGTCGACCTTGGAGAGCAAGGAGCAAAACTTTCCTTTAGGTTCCTCTGACCAGATTAGTATAGGCCTCAAAGTATGGCTATTAAACATCCAAGAAGGTTAGTTCCACCAGTCCGGTACTTTTAATTACCATGTGCTATGTAGATAAAGCTTGGGCAGAAACCAGACATTCTCAGATAAACCTTGATTAGACATATATTTTGTTCCTTAAACTAGTTGACTAAACTATGACCTTAGAAATTTTAAGATAATGTGTATATTATTTCTGTCTCGTCCTTTATATATCATAACAAACCTTTCTATTTTGGAAAATATCTCCATTCCCATATCCTTTTAACATCTTTTACAAAAACAGTTTTATTCTTTCAAAAAAAGTCTGTTAATTCAAGTGCTTTGTGCCTACTTTTGAAAAAGTGGTAGGTAAAGGCCAGCTAGGGCTTCAGGGAGACCCTGTCTCAAAGAGACCAAAAAAAAAAAAAAAGGAAAGTACCTATAATTACTGATAATTATCGACCTCTTTTACTATATTCCTAGTTAAAAAATAAATAAAATAATTACCATAAGTACAGGCTTTGTAAGTATAATGTCTTATAAAGACTTTAAGAAAGCATCTTAAACCCTACCATAGGATTTAAGTTCTGTCATACTTCCAACAGTATGGCAATGAGAACTAAATTTTTTTTAGCTATCTGTAGCCTGATTAATAATAGAAGTTGGAAAAAAGTTCTCAAATTTGAACAGGATCTTCCTAGTTAATTTCCATATAGCAAATGAGTTTTCACATGTAAATGGATAATTAATACATTAATGTTACTGGCCTGGTTAGAAAGCTCAAGGAACATCGTTTTTTGTTTTGTTTTGTTTTGTTTTGTTTGTTTGTTTGTTTTTATCCAAACCAGTGGAATAACTTTAGCTCTTCTTGGAGCTTTAAGTGCTAAGTGCTTGGTTTTTACTGGAGCATGTCTATTTTAGTCCTATGGCAGTAGCCTATGTAGAGGAAATTAGTAAGCACTCTGCAGTGTCTCTAGGGAGCACTTCTCATTCGGAATCTTAGTTGGCTGCCAGGTACAGACTTTCCAGAATTTTGCTTTCACTAGAAAGATTCCATTTGCAACGATTATAAAATGGTTTCTTCTACAAGAACAAAGCTATTTAAGGGACTCCAAGTAAACGTATGCCAAGTTTTGTATCAGCATTTTCTGATGCTTTTTAAAATTTTTATTTATTTATTAATTCTGTTATATTTTTATTTCAAAACTTTGTAAATCAAAAAAATTGTTTATGGTATAATGCACGGCTTTTAAAAACTCTTAAGTATAAGCTGGGCGTGGTGGTGCACGCCTTTAATCCCAGCACTCTGGAGGCAGAAGCAGGTGGATCTCTGTGAGTTCAAGGCCAGCCTGGTCTACATAATGAGTTCCAGGACAGCTGGAGCTACAGGGAGACCCTGTCTCAAAAAGACTAAAAAACAAAACAAAACAAAACAAAAAAACCTCTAAGTATAGCAACTCAGCAGAGATCTTTTCCTAATATGTGGGTTGTTTGACAGCCATGCCCTCTAATTACAGTTAATACTTCGGTGGTTAAAAAACAGACAAGGCCAGGCGTGGTGGCGCATGCCTTTAACTCCAGCACTCAGGAGGCAGAGGCAGGCGGATCTCTGTGAGTTCAAGGCCAGCCTGGTCTACATAGTGAGTTCCAGGACAGCTGGGGCTACAGGGAAACCCTGTCTCAAAAAGACTGAAAAAAACAGACAACAACAAAAAAAAAACCTTCACAGTTTCATGTAATAAAGTTATCTTTGTAAAAGGCATTTCTGAATTCTATCAACTACAATTCTAATCTCTGTATTTCTGTTATTTCACAATACAACTCCAGACTTTCATCCATCATTTAAAGTGACCATGGAATTATTCTACAGATTTTACCATCTTTTCCATTCCAGATTCCAGTAAGCAGTAGAACTTTGTTTTCATACATGAATATATACATTAATGTGTGTAATATAGAGTTTTATGTCCTATCATGATTAATTGAAATAGATCTACTCTTTAAAGCATAGTCGTACTTTCCATTCTTAAAAAATATATTTTGTTTATTATTTTTATTTTATGTGTATGCGTGCATTGCCTGCATGTATATAAGCGCACCTGTGTCGTGCAGTGCCAGCAGAGGTCAGAAAAGAGTGTCAGATTCCCCTGGAACTGGAGCTACAGATGGTTGTTAGCCACCATGTGGGTGCTGGGTACTGAACCCAGGTCCTCTGCAAGAGTAGCCAGTGCTCTTAACCACTGAGCCATCTCTCCAGCCCCTCCATTCCTTTTTAAATGAACAAAAATCACCACAAAAGAGAAGAAGAAGCAGAGACCTGTCATTCCCAGTTCGCCTTTTGACTAGCTACCTTATACTTTAACCATTTTTTTTTCTTGTTCCTACAAGGATGATACTGTCTGAGATTTATTTGAATTGCTCAATACCTGTGAATATAGAACGCTAAATAAAGGCTGCATCAGATGAAGCTATTTCGTGGACTTATGCCTTCTTCATGATTTGTTTTAATATAAAAGGGAATTTGACAAATATGCACTGATAGTAAATTATTTATTCCTTAGCTCCATGGGCTATTGATTGCAGTATCATTACTGTAGTTGCAAAGTAAGAATATTAGTGGTTTTTAGATGTATATGAAGGAGGTTTTGCTGTGACAGCAAAATTTAAACTTTTGGGGTTTTTTTTTGCAGGTTAAGGACATACTTGCTGAATATGATCCCAATTTTATGGCCATGAGTCTTGATGAAGCCTACTTGAATATAACAATGCACTTACAAGAAAGACAAAATTGGCCTGAGGACAGAAGAAGGTATTTCATCAAAGCAGAAAACTCTGTAGAAATTGGTAAGCAGTTCATTAGAAATATCAACTAAAAACTAGCAGAAAACAAACAACCCTTTGAATTAACTCAGTTAATTCATTAGTGTACATAGGTGATTGTCATTATTAAAATGAAAAATCAGGAACATAAAATATACAAGTAGGATTTTTATTGTTGTTTTGATGGGGCTTTTTTGTTTGTTTGTTTTTGTTTTGAGACAGGGTCTCCCTATAGCCCAAGCTGGCCTGGAACTTGACCAGGCTAGCCTCAGTCTCACAGAGATCCACCTGTCACTGTCTCTCAAGTTGCTGAGATTAAAGCATGCATCACCACACCTGGTTTACCAGTGGGTTTTTTAAGTTAAATATATTCCAAATGAGAGTGTTAAATAAATCTCCAGACTTTAAGAATCTACAGAGTTCTGGATTAACATAGTAACAGAATAGTTATTTTCTTTGAACTCACAGAGATCCACCTGCCTCTGCCTCCTGAGTGCTGGGATTAAAGGCGTGTGCCACCACGCCCTGCTGGTTATTTTATTAAGATCTAATCATCAAAGGATTTAGATTAAGACTGAGGAAGTTCTCTGTTTAAAGTGGCTTTCATTGTTGTTGTTAGAAATGAGATGTTACCTCCAAACATCAAAACCTCTGGTTATTGTATTTTTCTACATTTCCCAGGTTTTCTATAATCTGTTCCTAGTATAATAATTATAACTATTTTCAAACCTGCAAAAATAAGTGACCTCTCCCCTCTTCTTTCTTTATCTTAGACCTTACTATAATTCGTGTGTGTGTGTGTGTTTCAGATGTTGATGTCAGTGTCTTCCTCTATCACTAATTTGCTTAGCTAGTGTGCTCTGAATAGCCACCTGTCATCCCCACCTTCTGTTGAACCTGTTTTTTGTGTGGGTATTGGGGGTCTGAACTTACGTCCTCATGCTTACCCATCAAGTACTTTATCCACTAAACCATTTCCCTACTGCCCCATGACTCTTTTATACAATTAAGCAGAAGTTTCATGACTCCATAGATTTTTCAAACAAACCTTTTATTATTTATCCAAAGCAATACCAAGAAACATCCAGATGTTATGTATACTGATTTTCTAATCCTTTGCCAAAAGTAAGCTTACTTCAAATGTCTGACCCATCTTGAATCCCTGAGCCAAATTCACCTGACTGAAAAGGTGACCCAAAGGGATTCACCACAAACTGCAGCCATGTTTCATGTGTGTTACTTCCTGACAGTATCAAAAGGGCGAGGCAGTGGTAGGGAAACCTGTTGACACTGTCCTTCATCAGAAAGGTAGATGTATAATGGCATCAAATTATAAGTCTCACATTATTAGGGGCTCACCTCACTTGCACAAATTTAACACAGACATCAACTTCTTTACCTTATTTCTTAAGGGTTGAATGGAATCTCTCTTTTCTTAGATGGAAATGTTTAAAAAAGTATAGTGGTTTCTGGACACAAAGGCTTAGAGCAAAAGACTTTGCTTTCTTGGCATAACCTTATTGTTTGGAGATGTGGGGCCTAAAATTTGATGTCACTTTTCTTAAAAATCTCACTTTGTGGTGCTGGAGAGATGGTTCAGTGCTTAAGAACACGAGCTGTTTCTTGCAGAAGATGCAGGTTTGGTTCCCAGCACCCACATGGAGGCTAACAACCATCTGTAACTCCATTTCCAGCAGATCCAACACCCTCTTCTGGCATCAGTGGGAACTAGGCAAATATATAATGCACATACATGCAGATAAAACATACACATAAAACAAAGTAAATCTTTTTTAAAAACTGCATTGGGCTTAAGGCAAATGACTTTTATTCTTTGTTAATGCTCTTTTGAGCATATTGTATGTCCACATTGACTGTGATGAAGTGACTTGATAGTATAAGTTACTTTCAGCATGCTGTGTGGTATCCTCTTCTTGTATTTCATCTTCTTAAACAAATGGAATGGTCTAAAATTTTTCTTCTATACAATTCCCTGTGGGCTGGACTTTTAGGCATATCAGACTTTGTATTTACAGGATGTTGGAAGTGTGGCAGATGGATCTTTCTTTAAAGTCAGACATTTTCCTGTTTGCCCCTTTTATAAAAGATGCTTTGTCTCTAAAACTATTATTAGCTTTTATCTTTATTTGCAAATAAAATAATAATCATTGTTTTATGTTTACTCATACAAATCTAGCTGGCAAGTGTCAAGCTGTGTAAGAACCCAAATTCTGTACACTTTACTTCAGCACTTGAAGTCTAGGTGGAATGCTTTAGTCTGAATTTTGTGCTCTGATTGCCTCAGTTAGGGAGATTATAACAGTGTTTCAGTCAAGAAAGAAGAAACCACTTTAGAAGTTAGTTATACAGCCAGGCCACACAGAAGAATAAAATACAGTTCGGGTTGGAAAGAACACCATTCTCTGCAGCAGCTCTGATAGTGTGCCTGAAGGCACCTTTGTGGTCTACTGTGAGGTTGATTTGTCTGAGAACAGCCTTGTGAGAGGCACCAGTGCAAATCACTGTGGAAGGAGCTCTGCGGAGGGGACTTAGAAACGTGCCAGGTACCTTACCTAGTGTGCATTTTGTCTATAGCTCATTTTAGCAGTTCCACCCATAATCCTCTCAGCTGCTCTGAATTTTAAAATCAGTGTGTGGGTCTGCAGAGATGGCTCAGTGATTAAGAACACCGACTACCCCTTGCAGAAGACCCAGGTTCAGTTCCCAGCACCCACATAACATCTAAAAACCATATGTAACTCCAGTTCCAGTGGCTCAGACACCGTCTTCTGGCCTCTGTGGGTATTGCATGCACAGGTGCACTCACTTCCATGCAGGCAAAGCACTCATACACATATAATAAAAATAAATAAATTTTAAAAATTTTTAATCAGAATATGGAAAATAAAAAGGGCCTGAATATGTGCTAGTAGATATAAATTTGAAAATAAAGCTTATTGTGTATATGGCCTGAGAATTCAGATTTGGAAAATATCTATCTAATAACTTAATTCATATGACATAATTAAAATTTAGAACTAATCAGGTATTTATCATATTATTACATATTTTTAGAAATTTTATAAGACCAAGTTCATTTTTAAACTAATATGTCTTCATTCCCCTGTATCTTAAAATTTAATTTAATAAATTTAAGCTTCATATGATGGCTCATGCCTGTAATCCCAGCACTCTGAAGACTGAAGCAGGAAACTCAGGAGTTCAAAACCAGCCTAGGTGGGCTACATAGTTAATTAGAGGTTAGTTAGGGCTACATGAGACACTGTCTCATAAAAAGGGGCAAGCTTGGGGCTGGAGAGATGGCTCAGCAGTTAAGAGCACTGGCTGCTCTTGCAGAGGACCAGGGTTTGATTCCCAGTACCCACATGACAACTACTATCCGTAACTCCAGTTCCAGAGGATCTGATGTCCTCTTCTGGCCTCTACAGGCTTTGCACGACATGGGTGCACTTACATGCATGCAGGCAAAACATTCATACATGTAAACAATTTAAAAAATTTTAAAATGGGTTAATTTTTGATTCTGTATTTATCTTATTTGGAAAGCAATTATGTATAATAAAGTTATGAAATGGAATCAGAAAATGCTATTATTAATCTTATGAATACATTTAAATTTTTTCCCTCCAATTTTAAGCTTCAAAAATAGTCTTTGGTGTGTGTGGTGGCACACACATTTAGTGCCAGCACTTGGGATTCAGAGAAAGGCAGACAAAGCTCTGTGAGTTCAAGCCCAGCCTGGTCTATATAACGAGTTCCAGGTCAGCTGGGGCTACAGGGAGACCCTGTCTCAAAAACAAAAAATACAAAACAAAAAATAGTCTTTAATTGAATTATTCATGAGAATACTTTTAGTATTGATATCATTATAGAGTTAAGTATAGTTTATACTATATTTGAAAAAGTGCACATAATGTTTCTAGGTACTGAGATTATAGTCGTGTACCTGACTACTTTTTTAATGGGATTTTTGCAATTTTTATACAATATAGTTTATGATATTTAGACCCTCTCCCTTATCTGCACTCCCTCCACTGCCACCCACCAATTGCTGTACTCTCATGTATGTAAAATATGGTCTATAGAGTCTGATTTGTGTCCTCCAAATGTCCTTCAGTGTGGGTCCATCCACTGGATCCACTAAGAGTCCCATCCTTGTAAGACACTGTCTTTCCCCCTCCCAGCAGCCATCAGTTGCCAAAAGTTCCTTAGGTTGATTAGAATTCCTTACCCACTTCCCAATGTCTATGCTGAGATATTGTCTAGTTTGAGCTTGTATAGGATTTGTGCATGCTGTCACCAGTGCTGTAAGTTCATATGAGTAACTGACCAGCTGTCTAGAAGACTGTTTCCTTGTGGTCATCCATTCCCTCTGGCTTTTGCAATCTTTTGCCTCATCTTCTGCAATGATCCCTGAGCCTTGGGAGGCAGAGGTTTGAACTAGGTGTCCTATTCAGGGATAAGCATTCTGCAGCCTCTTGTTCTCTACTCATTCGCCAATTGTGGATTTCTGTGTTAATCATCATCTGCTGCATAAGGAAACCTTTCTGGTGAGAGTTGAGAAATGCATTTATCCTATATGTAGAGGTTACATTGAAGATGTGTCACTTAGGGCTAAGCATCTCACAGACACTTATTCTCTGTGTTTGACCAGTTTGGAAACTCTGTAATAGTCACCATCTATTGCAAAAAGAAGCTTCTTTGATGAGGAGTGAAAGGTATGCTTGTCTGAAAATGTGAGGATGTATATTTAGAATAAAGAAATTATACTGGTCTAGGGATGTTCCAAAAGTAGGTTTTTCTCTAGGATCTATGACCACTCCAGCCATATGTACTTGGCTGTTTACAGTACCACACGAGTTCCCTCCCATTGAGCAGGGCTTAATTCCAATTAGATAGCTATTGATTACTCCCAAGATGAAAGTACAACCTCTGCACCAATATTGATAGTTTGATGGGGCACTTGTTGTTTATTAGGCTTTATAGCTGGGTAGGACCATTGATTGTTTTTCTCCCTTGGCAGCTTGTATAGTGCCCTCTGATACCATGAGAGCTAGTCTTCAGAGCCAAGGCTTCCAGGTCATTTCTAGCTCAATTCCTCCATGTCCTGTGTCCAGTGTGTAGCCTGTCTTCATCAATAAGGTCTTACCTTCAAGTTCTGGGAGATAATCAAGGGCTGTGGCAATAGCTTGTGCTACTTTGGGAGTCTCTTGGACTACCCTGACCAACAACTCAAAAGGAGGTTTCTCCTCCCTGGCACTGTTTTTTTTTGTTATATAGCCTTCAGCTGTACACATGCACTTGTATATTTACTGTTATGTGTATTTTTAGTAGGATTTTGAACTAATATATTTCACACCATCTAAGTATTCTTTATCTCTCATCACTTCCCCTGTATAACCCTCCCCATCCTTTACTTTTAATAATATTGTACAATGTGTTGATAACAATAAAGCTTTTTTGCTTTAAATTTGAAACTTCATTAATTAGATCAGACCCTAAGAATTTGTGTAAGAAGTTTAACTTTCAGGAGTAATTTCCATTTATTGAAGACATACCCTTAGTAAAAGTTATGTTTTTCTTAAGCAAATCAAAGTGAAATCAGCATTTGAAAAGAGAAAATTCAGAATATTTTAACATTTGGAACATTTCTTCCATGAATAAAGAAAAAATAAGTTTTCTAAAAACTTATTTGTAGTTGTAATTATTCTTACTGTTTCTTGCTTTTTTTCTCATTCCTAATATTTTTTGTTTGGTTGGTTTTGTTGGTTTCTTTCTCTTCTCTTCCCTTACCTTCGCTTTGCTTCTCTTCTCTCTTCTCTCTCTTCTCTCTCTTCCTTCTCTCTTCTCTTCTCTCTCCTCTTTTCTCTCTCTTCTCTTCTCTTCTCTCTCTTCTCTTCTCTCTCTTCTCTCCTCTCTTCTCTCTCTTCTCTCTCCTCCTCTTCCCTCCCCTCCCCTCCCCTCCTCTTCTCTTTTGTCTTTGAGACAGGGTCTCCCTGTAGCCCTTGATGGCTTGCAACTCTTGTTATATAGACCACGCTGGCTTCCATCTCACAGAGATCTGCTTGTTTCTGCTTCCTGACTGCTGGGATTAAAGGCCTGACCCACAAGGCCCAGACTCATTCCTAGTTATAATTTAAGAAGAATCTTTTTGTCCTTAGAAAAGAACCGAGGAGAACAAATATTTCCTTTCTTAAAGAAAAAAGTAATGGACTTCAAAAGTTAATGAGTTTTACATAAAATGTTTCCTGTAAAAGGCACACCAAGGGAATGGGTAATATTCCTTTTTAAAGGCCTTATAGCTTTTTCCTTATTAAATAGTTAGAAAACATAAATGATAGCATTTCTTGGTTCCTAGAAGCGAAACTAGGTTTGCTTTGTCTTCTGCAGTATTAGAGGGGAGAGTTGAGCATGGTAGTGCTTGCCTGTAATCCCACACCTTTGAAGGCTGACATAAAAAAAAATCACTGTTTCCAGGCCAGTGTGGCGTACATAGTGAGTTTGAGGCCAGCCTGGGTGATATTCCAAGACTGTCTCAAACACAGATACACACACAAAAAGAAGACAGACATAATGGATAGATTTGAGAAGGAGGGGGAAAGCATTAAAAAAAAAACGAAAGAATAGAATGAAGCCTAACTTCTGAAGTACATTCTTCTTAAAATCAAGATGACTTGCTGTTCCTCTTTGTAACTTAGATAAACCAGGAGAGGAAGTGAAGAAACTGAGAGAGTATGAATGCTCCATCTCCCCACTGCTTTTTGAAGATAGCCCTCCTGATACGCAGCCTCCAGGAAGTCCTTTCCAACTGAATTCTGAAGAACAAAACAGTCCTCAAATACTCCAAAATTCAGTTGTTTTTGGAATATCAGCCGAGGAAGTGGTAAAGGAAATTCGCTTCAGAATTGAACAAAAAACAACGTTAACAGCCAGTGCAGGTATTTAAAAGTATATTAACAACCTCTGTGGTGGTAATTTTCACACTGACTAATTCAAGTGAAACAGAAGTAGTCTCTAAAGTATATGGTAGCATTTGATTTATCCAGTCTTTGATTTAAATGCTAGCAGCTTTTACCTACTGAGAAAGCCATGAACGTAAAGGAAAGGTGGGCTTAAGCAGAAAATTCTATGGACCTAAGGAAAAAACTACCATAAATCTCCTTTAAGTGCAAACTATTGTTTACTTGGTTTGCACAGGATGTTTGATTAACTTTTCCTTGGAAGATTTGAATACTGTCTTAATTACTTTCAGGAGAGAACCTAAAGTGCAGGATCCCTCTTCTCTATCCCCAAAAGACCAACCAGCTAGCAACTTAGCAATTTAGGACCATTTGGTAAAAGAAAAATAACTTTACATATAGGACCATTTGGTAAAAGAAAAATAACTTTACATATATCTGTAACCCATATGATCAGTAACAGCATAGGACCTATTAATATTTTTTATCATGAATTACTGAATTGTTACCCTGAATTATTCATGAAACCTGTGTATGCTATGGTTAGGTTAATGTTTTCTGTGCCAAAGCATAAGCGTGCATCATTAGTTTTATGAGGATACCTATAAAAATCAAATTGAACAATTTAATGATTTTTTTGGATATACCTTTTATAAGTTGCCTTAGTCATTGAGAATCCTACATATTGCAAAACAGCACTTGTGGTGATTTACTTTGTAACGAAAAGATTAAACATTTTTATTATTGATTCTTTAAATATATTGCAACCTTGGGGCTAGAGAGATGACTCAGGGGCTAAAAGCACTGACTGCTCTTACAGAGGACTCAGGGTCAATTCCAAGTGCCCACATGGCAACTAACAACATTCTGTAACTCCAGTTGCAGGAGATCCAGTGTCCTTTCTGACCTCTATGGGCATTGCACAACACAGGTGCATGTACATGCATGCGGGCAATATACTCATAAAAAATAATAAATATACATATAAAAATAATAAAAAATGTTACATTAAATTTGCATTAAACATTACATAATTTACATTAAACCGTCTCAGAGAGTAAACATCTATCATAAACTATGTCCTGGATCTTCTGACAATCCTGAATTCCTACTAAAGTTATTAGCAAGCTAACGACACTTAGTATTGCTCAGCTCAGAAATTAATCTTGGATTTTAAGATTTCGGTAGTTAAATATTCCTTTTTTTTTTTTTTGCTGTAGCAGCTAATGTATTTCCTTTCCCTAAAACCATGTCAAGCCCTGAGGAGAGGGTTGGTAATCAGATGTTATTTTTAAAGTAGCAGTGTGTGTCATCTTAGATTATTTGCATTTAACTTTTATTTTGTTATCACATAGTGAAAAACTATACAAGGCAACTTCTCTGGGTCATGAGCATGCTCTTCTTTTTAAGGTATTGCCCCCAATACAATGTTAGCAAAGGTGTGCAGTGATAAGAACAAACCAAATGGACAATACCAAATTCTCCCCAGCAGACAAGCAGTGATGGACTTCATCAAAGACTTACCAATTAGGAAGGTGAGATTTTATAGAAAAAAAATTTATATTAATTTTTAATTTTTGAGAATTATATACATGAGTATTGTCTTGTCATTATTTCCAGCAGGGTTAGGGGTCTCTGATGTAGAAGTTCTTATGATGTTGGCTGTGGGTTTGTTGTATATATCTTTAGTTAGGCTGAGGTGTGTTTCCACCAGTCACATTTTCTCTAGCACTTTTTAATTGTGAATGCATGTTGGATTCATGTTGGCAAAGGTCTTTTCTGCATCTATTGAGATGAGCATGTGATTTTTGACTTTAAGTACGTTTATATAATTTGTTACATTTATCAACATATATATATTAAACCATCCCTGTATCTGTGGGATAAAATCAACTTGATCATGGTAGATGATCTTTTTGATATGTGTCCATATGCACTTTGCAAGTATTTTATTGAGGATTTTTACATCTATGTTCATAAGGGTTATTGGCCTGTAGTTTTATTTTTTGGTTGTGTCTGTATGTGGTTTGGGTATTAGAGTAATACTGACTTTATAGAAGGAGTTTGGGAGTTCTTCCTTCCTTTCTTTTTGAATAATTTAAGAAATATTGGTTGTAGTTCTTTGAAAGTCTGGTAAAATTTTGCTGTGAATTCATCTGGGCCTGGACTTTCTTTAGGCAGGAAGCTCTGTGTTACTCTTTCAATATCCTTATTTGTTAAGAGTCTGTTTAAGTTGTTGATCTCCTTGATTTAACTTTGGTAGTTTGAATCTAGAAGTTCATCAATTTCTTTTAGATTTTGTAATTTTAATACAGTACAGGTTTTTAAAGTAATCCCTTATAATATTCTGGATTACTTTGTTGTCCATTGTAATGTTTTCCTTTTCATTTCTGATTTTGCTGATTTGGGTTTGCTCCTTTTCTTTTGGTTAGCTAGGTTAAAGGCCTGTCTATCTTGTTTATCTTTTCAAAGAACCCGGTCTTAGATTCATTAATTCTTTCTATTGTTTGCTTTGTTTCTGTTTCATTTATTTCTGCTCTAATTTTTACTATTTCTTCTCATCGTCTGGGTTTGTGTTTGGTCTATTCTTGTTTTTCTAGATTCTTGAGTTGTATCATTAAGTCATTTATTTGTACTCTTTCTGATTTTTAATGTAGATGCTTAAAACTATAACCTTCTCTCTTAGGACTGCTTTTAATGTGTCCCAGAGATGTTGCTGTATTGTGTTTTCATTTTTATTTAGTCTCAGGACTATTTTTATTCCTTTTTCGACTTTTTTTCTTTGACCTGTTCATCATTTAGTAATGTGTTGTTTAATCCCCATGAGTTCATGTAGTTTCAAATTTTTGTATTTGTTGAGGTGTGTTTTGTGCCCCAGTATGTGGTCTATTTTAGAGAAACTTCCATGGACTGCTGAGTAGAGTATGTAGTAGAATATGGTGCTGTGGTGGAATACTCTGTAGATGTTTGTTAAATTCATTTTATATATCATTTAATTCAGATGTTTCTCTATCTTTGTCCAATGACCTATCTATTGGAGAAAGTGTGGTATTGACATTACCTACTATTACTGAGTTGGGGTTAATATGTGTCGAAGTCCAGTGGTGCTCTTTTATGAAATTGGGTGCACCAGAATTTGGTGCATATATGTTCATAATTGTTATGTCTTCTTGCTCAATTGTTCTGTTGATCAGAATGAAGTAGCTTTTTTTTTTAATCTCTTCTGATTAAATTTAATTTGAACTGTATTGTGTCTGATATTAGGGTATCAATGCCTTCTTGTTTCTTCATGCCATTTGCTTAGAATATGTTTTTTCCACCCCCTCACTTTAAGGTGGTACCTGTCCTTGAAGATAAGATGAATTTCTTATAGAAACCAAAAGGATGGATTTTGTTTCAAGTAGACTGCCTTTTGATTAGAAAATTGCGACCATTGAAGTTTAAAGTTTTATTGAAAGATGTGTTTTGCTTACTGTCTTTTTTATTTTCCATTTGTATTCTTAGTTCTATTCTGTTTTTCCATAATTATAGCCTCATTTGCTTTCTTTCCATACCCTGTTGGGTATGGTTATTCCTTTTTTCAGTCCTTGTATTGTTTTGAGTATTCTCTGTAGGGCTGGTTTGGTGGACATGAATTCTTTCAGCCTATTCATGTCATGGAAATTTTTCCATTCCCTTTTGACTATGATAGATAGCTTTGCTGGATAAAGTATTCAGGGTCGAGGTCCATAGTTGTTTAGAACTGGGAATACTTTGATCCAGGCTCTTCTGGCTTTTAAAGTTTGTATTGAAAAGTCAACTGTTATTCTGATGGGTTTTCCTTTGTAGGAATTCTCCAACTTTATCTCTAGGTCTTGATTTTTCTGTTTTCCATTTGATTCATTCTGCTGGTGATCCTTTCTCCTGTCTTTTCTAATTGCTTATTGAGTTTTTCAATTCCATCTTCATCTCAGCTTGGGTTTTCTTCAGTATTTCTTATCTCTTTCATGAATTCACTCTTGAAATCCTGAATTGTCCTTATCATATCATTCATTTATGTTTTCTCAAGCTTCAGTCCGGAGTTTATTCCTCCTCTCCCCTCTGAGTTTCTTGGGTTGTTTGGGTGTTCTTTCAAGTCCTTGAGTTGTTTGCTCATGTTTATGATTGTTCTTTTAAGTTCTGTGTCCTGGGGTTCCTCTGGGCAATTCCCATTGTAGAACACTTCTACAGGACTGATGGGATTTGGTAGGAATATATTATCTCTGTTTTTCATATTATTTGTTTTTGCTATGTGACCTGAGTACATAGTCATCTTTCGTTGGTTGTGTGTCTGATATGAAATTTTAGCCTGCCTTTGTTGAGTAGAAATTGTTTCCGTTTTTACTGGTGTGATAGCTTGGTTGATTTCTGTTCAGGTATCAATCGATAATTGGTCTATGTTTCAGGTTCCCACTTAATATCTTTTTATTGGAGGGACAGGGTAATTCCAGTCTGGTCCTGTGAGCCAGGTGGGCAATCACAACTAGGACTGTGAGTGTGGAGGTTGGGGAAGACTGGACGATTCTGACTAGCTCACCAAGGAGCAGTGTTTCCAGTTCTAGTCCCAGAGAGGGAAGATTGCAAAAGAGTGAGTGGGTTCCAGGATGGGTGAGCCATGGTTCGTACCCTGAGAGGGAAGAGGGTGAGGGCTTATATAAAATGAATCATTTGTGTTTGTACTCTGAATTCTGAAGGGACACTGGTTTAGCTTGATAGTAACTATTCTTTGCTGAATAGTTTTAAAATAATAGGTAATAGACAAGAACTATGCTGGGTGACTGAATGTGTGCTTAAAATTTTCTTTGAAACCCTAAGCCTATCTGCAGAAAATTTTAAAGAAAATAGAAACAGTCGACTTTGAAGTACCTTCCTACCAAGTAGAAAGGACATAAAATGAACCTTTGAAGGAGTGGCTTTCAACTGTGACTTAGTACTGTCAATGTCAGTATAGTATTGAGTGCCATCAGATTAATTGGTAGGATACTTCAAAGAGTTTTCAAATTTTGTTTTGACCAAATTAAAACAAAATGCTTTATCATCTCTAAATTGTCTTTCAAGGTTCCAAAAAATGGTGTATGTTAAGTATCCAGATTATTTTGTTATATATCCTCTTCATTTTTTAACAGCCAAACTATATATGATATGATATTCTAGGACTCAAAATAATGTATATGATTGAATTTATGTAAAGTATCTCTCTGTTCAAAAAAAAACTATATCATAGTTTATAAGGTTTAAAGCTTGTATACTACATGTAAGATAGAGCTATACGGTACTGTTTTCTAAGATATGAATAAGTGTTCCTTTATTTTAAGTTCTGGGATCAAATATTGCATGACTTATTATGCATATATTAATACACTAAAGAATAATAAATTTTACAGTAAAAAAAGTTTGTACTATCATTCCCAAAATTTCTATGACCGCAGATATTCTTTATTTGATGCCTTCAAAAATTCCATGGAATGCTAGTTTAGTCTATGAGACCCAAAACTAATAAACACAGTTTTCTTGCATAACACGTGAAGATTGTGATATTATTCATATGTTTTATTGGGTATAAAAACTATAAGATTATAATCTTTGCTGGGAATGTAGCTCAGTGGCAAACTGTCGTCTATCTAGCATGTTCCAGGCTCTGAGATCAGTCCCCAGCACCAGTCATGTTCTTTCTCTCACATAAAATTACAATTTCTCTGCTTGAATTTAATTATAAATATTGATTCATCTCTACTTATACCACCCTGAATGCATCTATTTCATCTAAGTATTGGTTCTTTTCTAGGTTTCTGGAATAGGAAAAGTCACAGAAAAAATGTTAAAGGCTCTTGGGATTATTACTTGCACAGAGCTCTACCAACAAAGAGCAGTGCTTTCTCTTCTTTTCTCTGAAGTGTCTTGGCATTACTTCCTTCACCTCTCCCTGGGTCTAGGTTCAACAGACCTGGAAAGGTATCTATAGTCATTTGGCTTTTTCTTTTTTATTTTCTGAAGTGTCCATTTTAACCTTTGAGATGGGAGCTATTTTAATAACATGTTTTTAAATGGTTTTAGACTGATTTGATTTAGAATATATTTTGGTTAAAGTCATCTGTTTGGCTATGGGAGAAAAGGAAAGGAGGAATAAAGTCTCCCCTCTAGGTTGTTGGCTTCAGCAGTGAGAAAGGTGGATGTGAGGGACAGTGGTTACTTCCTTTCTGAACCTCCTTATCTGTGTTCAGAATATAAGGGGAAGATTGGTAGTCAGATTGTTGAGGAAAGAAAGATGGCTTCTAGTCCATAGTTTATTCTTTAGGTAAAGAGGTTTGATGATTCTTTGAAAACCTTAATGATCTAACTTTAGGTCATTTTCCATATGTGTGAATGATTTCATATATTCAGTACTGAGTATATACTTTGCATTAAACACTGTTGTAGGCACTAGGGATAATTATAGTGGATAAGACAAAATCCTGACTTTGTGGAATGTGAAAAATAGAAAATAGCCAGATGACAAATGAAGACAGAAAGGCAGGGTAAGGGCATAAAGAATGACTTGGGAGGCTAGTGTGGGATTGACAGAGGTCATCCAGAGGCAGAAACCTGAAGGAGCTGACCTTGGAAAAGGTGGAACAGCTAAGGAAAAAGCCCTGCACTTTTTCCTGGTTTTCATGTAGGCCTTAAATTGTTACAGATTGATCAAAAGGGGGAATGGGAATCATAACAATGAACACTGGACACTATTTTTGCCATGATCTATCTTGTCAGTGTACTTGGAACAAAATTTTATTGTGTCAGATTTGTTTGTGCATGAGTACCGTGAGTCAGGGTAAAATATTCCTGCTTCAGCAAGCGTCTCAGATCTTAAAACCATTACGTATCTATTTGCAGATTCCTATATATTCTTGTCCTTAAACTAAAGGACTGCAATAAAACCATGAGGATACCTGTAAGCACAAACAAATCAACAGAGAAAATAAACCCATTCCTCCACCCCTAGATGGTGTCACCTTTTTGACTAGTTGGCTGGTTTTCTTTTGTTTTTTATTTTTTGTAATGTTGCGACTCGAACCGAGGGCCTTGCTCATCCTAGGCAAGCTCTGTATGACTAAGCTACATCCTGATCCCCCGTATTTATTTCTGTATTTATTCATATCCGTTGAGGTATAATTTTCTTAGGACAAGCACTTGGGTTATTTTATTCATTACTATATCTCCAAGTTCTAGAATGGAGCTTAAGCTGTGTTACATTCATTAGATTTTTTTGAAAATGAATAAAACACATGTCATTTTACCTTTTTTGTTTCAATTGCCCCTCTCAGAACAGCTAGAATCCAACCAAACTAGTTGGTTTAGATTCCTAGTCATCATTTTGTACCAAAATCTGAGACTTTGTAGAGTGGCATGAATGAATAATGAATAGGCATATAGATGAGAGGAGTGAATGTGCTGACCCCCAGGGGAGGCAACATTCAGTTATTGAAAATTTGAATTTATCCTCTGCCTGAGAACTGTGATACTACTGCCTCCTTTGGTTTGTATGTTATATGTTTTAATATTTAGACTTTTAATGGAAGCAACTTATGTATCTATTTTCAAGTTGCTTTTCTTCAATAGATAGACTTGATCCATGACACATGTAATCAATCATATTAGCATCTCATTAATGTCTTTTAGTGATAGTTTCATTTTTAGATTAAAAAGGAACCCTCAACGTTTTTTATAAAGTACAATTTTAATTTAAAATAGAAGTATTTAAAGAGTACATTAAGATCTCTTATTGACCAAAAGGAATTTGGTTTTCTTTGAGAAAGAAATTAAGACCTTTTTTTTTTCTTTTCAAGGGATGGAGAAAGGAAAAGTATGAGTGTTGAAAGGTAATGTTTGTTCTTCATTGTTAAATGGTCCATAATTCATTTAAACTATTTAAAATTCCCTTTTAGCAAAATATCATGACAATAAAAAAATATTTGCAAATCATGGTAAGAGTTATTAGCTCACACTCCTGGGGTGAACACTAAGTGCAGTGCTTTATCTTTGGTGGCAATGGGAAGAGCATTGTCTGCATGGTTTTAGTACATGCAGTAAAAGCTCAGAATCTTAGGGTTTCTAATCTTATTCATAAGAACTATCCGTACATGGGTTTGATTACAGAAATTAATGTTCTCTAAATAAAGGGGGAGGACTGAATGTTTACTTGAGAAATGCAAGCTGTCACAATAAGAATTTTAGACATTTCAGATATCAGCTGTATGAATAGAGGCATCAGATTACATGTTGAGCATTTCTTATGCAAAAAGCTAAAGTCTGAAATACACCAAATTCTAAAACTTCCTGAGTGCTAACGTGTTATCTGGCACAAGTGGAAAATTCTGCACCTCATTTTATGTGATCGGTTGCCATCAAAACGGACTCATAAAACGTTGTTTAGGAGTACCTTCGGACTCTCTATATATGTCTATATGAAGTAAGTGAATTCCAACTCCATTGTTCCAAGTCCTTTTGCCAAAGTATGTCATGTCTTCAGCAATAGGGTCTTACTTTCAAGTTCTGGGAGATAATCAATGGCTATGGTAATAGCCTGTGTTATTTTGGGAGTCTCTTAGACTGCCCTGATCAACAATTCAAAAGGAAGTTTCTCCTGTCCGGCACTGTTTGTTGTTATATGGCCTTCAGCTATGCACATGCACTCATGTACAGATATTGTATTTATATTTTTCGGTAGGCTTTTTCTTTTTTTGGCTTTTTGAGACAGGGTCTTCCTGTAGCCCCAGCTGAACTGGAATTCACAGAGCTCCACCTACCTCTGTCTCCCAAGTGCTAGGATTAAAGACATGTACCACCACACCCAGCTTCAGTTGGCTTTTAAACTAATATTTTAAACTAATACATTTCTGGTTTTTTAAAAACATTACCGAAGCATCTCTCCTCTCTCTCCCTTCCTAACTCTTCCTCCTCCTTCCCCAGTTAAAGTACGCCTACTTTTCCCATTTCCCCCTTGACAGTGCTTGTCTCCTATGACCCCCTTTCTTGATCGCCTTCCCTTTTACCCCCATGGTTCCTTTTATAACCTTCTCTCTTCCCCTCCCAGTTAAACACTCCCATTTTACCCGTTTCCCCCTTGGTAACACCAGAGTCCTGTTTTTGCTTTCTCTCAGGTTCTTTCTTTCCCTTTACCGCCATGGTTTCTATCTCTTGACTTAAGTGTTTGAGATAAAGGAGCCTCAACCTATAGTAAAATATTATTGGTAAACATGAGTTTGCCAATTAGATTATCTAATTTAGTGGACTTAGAATCTTGTTTGAAAGTCACGTGAAATCTTTATGTAACTTCGTTTAAGGGGAAAATGTGTCAGTTTTGAAAAGTCCCTAAGTTATTTCCTCAAAGAATCAAAGTTCCATTGAGATACTTATGAACCACTTACCTAAATAGAAGGTTTGTTCACATTTCATGTGTATTATTTATAATAAGAAAAAGTTGCAAGACAATGGCTTTGATAAAACGTAATGTTTTAGAGGGCTGGGAAGTAGCCCAGTTGGTAGAGTACTTGCCTATCATGCATGAAACACCCTAGGTTCAATCTTCAGCATGCATAAACCTGGACATGGCCCAAACCTGCATTTGCAGCAATCAAGAGGTGAGGGAGTAGGATGGGGAGCTCAAGGCCACCTAGGCCATATAAGACCCTATCTCAAAAAAAAAAGGTCCTTTTGGGTCTGGGGTGGAGTGGAGTGGTTGAGTAGTGGGTGAAGGGCCCTGGGTCCAGTTCCCAGCCTTAAATTTTATTTTTTCTATTTTTGACTATGAGTTACATAAAAGCAAGGGGCAAGAAAGATCCAAAGTGAGATAATATTGTCCAATTTAATGATTTTTTTTATTTTGTCTTACTGTTAATATTACTCATACACAAATATATTCTACACTTTTTTCTGAAAACTCTTGTCTTTAAAATTTGCATTAGAGTATTGGATTTCATCTGGAGATAGGAGGAGGGATGTTGCAGTTCATAATTACATATAAAGAACTAGTTTTTCTCATATCTGAACAACTAATAAGAGTAGGGTGGAGAGATGGGTTAATGGTTAAGAAGACTAACTACTCTTGCAAAGGACCCAGGTTTGATTCCCAGCATCCACATGGCGACTACAACCATCTGTAACTCCAGTTCCAGGGGATCTGACACCCTCTTCTGACCTCTGTGGGCATTGTACCATGTAAACGTACCCACCTACGTGCAGGCATTACACTCATGTACGTAGACTAAAAAAGAACTAATAAGAAAGTGCCATTATGCCATTAAAAATAAAGTGAACAAATCTCGTTCAGCCTGGTCTACATATTGAATTCCAGGCCAGCTAGCTGGACTACAGGAAGACTGTCACAAAAACAAAACCAAACAAAAATCAAAGATCTAATTAATGAAAATGAAAGTAAAAATGGCTTTTAAAAATACAGGAAAATGCTGGGCACAGTGGCACACGCCTTTAATCCCAGCACGTGGGAGGGATTAAACTCACTGTGAGTTCAAGGCCATTCTGGTCTATATAGTGAGTTTCAGGACAGCTGGGGCCACAGGGAGACCCTGTCTCAAAAAGACCCCCCCCAAAACAACAAACAAAAAACCTAAAATATTCTCCTTTAAAATAAAAAGAAATCAAGAGTTCTCTGAGATGTATTATTCACTGATCAAGTTTGGCAAAGGTAGTCTATCATACTGTGTCAACAAAACAATGGACTGGAAGAGGTATCAACTCTAGAGGAGTCTGTTACCTTCCACTGCTGTCACAGCAAATGACTGAACTGAATGGCTTGAGACAGCATAGATTTATTCTCTCACCACTCTGAAGGTCAGAAATCCCTAATGCTAAGGTGTTTGGTGGGGCTTCATTCCTTCTGTAGGCTCTTGGGCAGAATTAATCTCTTTACCAAAGGCTTCTAGAGACTTGTTGCATTCCTTGGCTCATAGACCCAGTATCTTCTCAGTTTTGACAGTGATGCCCCTGCTTCCCTTTTTTATAAGGACACTGGGATTATAGTAGGCACACCTGTATACTCAGGGATAATCTTCCTGCTTCAGTCTCTCCTCTTTTATCTTAATATATCTCAATTCTCAATGCTTTATTAAAGATGAATTCAAAATTTCTACATTTATTACCAGCCCTCCATTTCAACCATCTGCTAAGTAACCTTGCCTAGGTTCCATGAACCAGCCCCTTAAATCTACTTAAAGATATGTATGTGTGTCTTGAAAATTCATGTACAGTAATTAGAGTGATGCTCTCTACTGTATTTTTTAAGAAAGCATCTCACAATATAGCCCTGCCCGGCTTAGAACTCACTATGTAGACCTGTTGGCCTTAAATTCACAGAGATCTGCCTGTCTCTGCATCCCAAGTGCTGGGATTAAAGGTATGTGCCACCATGCCCAACCTCTACTCTGATTTTTAAGATAACCTGTAGCAGGATCTTTGGATAATCATACTGCAATCAATGTATTAAAGTTTCAGGGCTATTATCATCTGTTGATACCTTGAAGCATTTTAAAAAGTAGTACAGCAGGGGCTGGAGAGGTGGCTCAGCGGTTAAGAACACTTGTTACCGGGTTCAAATCCCAGCACCCACATCACAGCTAATAACTGTCCGTAACTCCAGTACCGGGGGATCCGACAGTCCCAGGGGATTTTGACCTCCGCAGGCATTGCACAACACGGGTGCACTTACCTACATGCAGGCAATACATGCATACACATAAAATAAAAATAGTAAATAAAAAAATAGTACTGCAAAGAGAGCATAAAATTGCTCCTTTGCTGATCAGTTTACCCATCTAAATGCCTTTTCATCATTTAGGTAGAACATAGGTATTTTTACTTAATTATGTCTTAATTATCTGAAAACTTTGTTTTCATACTGAAGAAAATATAATGCCAGGCCATTTGAACATACTGTGTCATGACCAAATTAATCAGTTGTAGTTTGCTGTGTCTCTAGGACGTTCAGTGAGCTGAGTAAAGCGAAAGACCAGTACAGCTTATGCCGTGAGCTTTGCGCTGACCTTGCTCAGGATCTCCAGAAAGAAGGACTTAAGGTACTCAACTCTGTTGGACTGATTTTAGTTTTTCTCTTTTTTTATCATAGAATACTGCTTTAAGTCAAAACGTTATACATTTATTAAAGCTAACTATGAGTAAGTAAATGTTGGAACAAAATATTCCTAGCCCCAACAATCAGAGACAAAGTCAGATCTGACCTGTCTGAGGTCTGTGATGAGATCATTTTATGAAAAAGAACTTGTGGAGCTGGATGGTTCCAGTATAACTTGGGCAGCTTTGTACTGCCCTAATAGTACATGTAAATGAAGTGCCAGGTCAGACTTAAATGGTATTAGAGACAAAAGCAAAGGGAAGGCTTTCCCTGGAGCTGTATTCTCGTGTCAGAAATCCCTTTCCAATCGTCCTTGAAGATTTTGCTCACGTAGACAGTGACCTTCTAGAACAGGCATTGTGTTTCAGGGCTCTAACCCTACTTAATACATTAAGAACAAAAGTCTAGAATGCTCTGGACATTGTGTTTTATAATCTCCCTTAGTAACAGCCTGCATTTGGTATTTTCCCAATCCTCTCCTACCAGAACTAGAATTATTACAAAGTATAATAAAAAATGTGAAAAAGTTATTGCAAAAAAATGGAGTATATGAGGAACGTTTTACTTATAATTCTTCTCCTAAGTATTTTAAATACACTTTTCATTTTAGAGTAATTTTAGATTTATAAGAAAGTTTCCAAAAGAATAAAGAGAATTCCATTGTACCTCTCACCCTGTTTCCTCAACCATTAACATTTTATATTACCATAGTCAAAACTAGAAAAGTGACATTAGCACAGTGATGTTAACCAAGCTTCAGACTTCAACAGGATTTCGCTTGTTTCCCTGTTAATGACTCTCCAGAATTTGATCCCGGGAACCATATGGCAACTAATTGTCATGTCTCCCTAGTTTGCACTGGTCTGTGACAGTTTCTTAGCCTTTTCTATAACTGACAGTCTTGAGAACTGCTGGCCATTTCTTCTACAGAATGTCCCCAGTCTGCTTGTGCCAGGGTTAAAGCTGTGTGTGCCTCCCACCCAACCTTGAGTCAATATATTTAACTTACCCTCAAGTAAAAGAGAGCAGAGATTAAGTTCCACCCCAAGGATATCTAAAGTGTCCACAGTATAAAATTTGTCATTTTGACCATTTGTGTTTGGTTCAGAAGCATTAAGCTTATTCATTGTCATGTGACCACCATCATTACCCCACCATCTCAGGAACTTTTTCATCCCCAACTGGAACTTGGTATCCCTAACAGTAACTATAAAGAGGATTCTTACAAACAGATTTCTAGCATAGTACCCTGGCATGTGGGAATCCCACAGTGTGCACTATTCATAAGACTTTTTCACTGAGATGTTTTTAGAAAGACTTTTTCTTAACCTGACTGTCCCAATACTGAAAACCTTAAAGAGATTCAGTAAAAGGAAAAATAGTTATAACTTTGCCCTACATATAAAAAGTATTTTTTTAGAAAAAAAATTGGGAAGAGGATTAATGATTATGGGCTAAAATGGTATTTTTCATTCACTTATAGGTTTTTGTCACCATTTTTATAAATAATTGATTATGCCTCTATATTCATATGTGTACATACAGGCCTTTAAATTTTTCTATAACTCTTTTCTACAAATTACAAAGCCTTACATAATAATGTACTCCGTGTGTCATAGGGGAGAACTGTTACCATTAAACTGAAGAATGTGAACTTCGAAGTCAAAACTCGTGCCTCTACAGTTTCATCTGCTGTTTCTACTGCAGATGAAATATTTGCCGTTGCTAAAGACTTGCTAAGAACGGAAATTAATGCTGATTCTCCACATCCCTTGAGATTAAGGCTTATGGGTAGGCCTTTTTCTTTTTTAAACTTGTTTTTCCTTAAGTATGTTTGATTATCCTCACTAAAAACACATCAATTTGGGAAATAATTTCCCTTCCTTTAAGAAGTTCCTACCGTGCTGCTGTCATTTATTATAATTCCTAGAGCTTGATGCATATAAAGTAATGATTATTACTTTAATTCTGTATGAACCACTGAAAGTTGCTCTTTTCCTTATTATTTCTGAAATCTTAGACATAAAGTTTGTTTTAAAATTCAGAATTTTTCGTACTAGAAACAAATCAGGGCATATTAAATATATTCTGTGATATTCCTCCAGGCATGTGGAGCAGCACTCATTTAAAACACTGCTATCTGTATAGCAGAACAAACAGAATTTAGTATTTAGACTGTGAAGACACTAAACATTACATTCAGTTGATATTTGTCACTTGTTGCTACAATATTCAGAAATTTTTGAATTTCAGAATTACACATGAAAGATTACAATACTGAAACCACACTGCCAGCTACTGCATGTTGAAACTATCAGCATGCTTCCAGATGAGCTATAAGAGTATGTGTATGAATAAGCATTCAGATGCTGTCTGGATCACTGATTGGTTTTTCGTATTTGAGAGATAGCATACAGTGAAACCAGTTGAATGAAGTATGTTAAAAAGAGCCACTGAGCAGGTACTAAGAAGCTTTATTCATAATTGTCAAAACTTAGAAACAACTAAGACCTGCCTAAGTGAATTGATGAACTATGTTATGTCCAGACAATGGGATAATGTTCAGCATGTAAATGAACTGTCCAACTACAAAAGACATGGAGGAAAGTTGAGTAAGTTTTTCTGGGTGAAAGAAGTCAATCTAAAAAGGCTCCATATTGTATGATTCCAACTATATGGCACTCTGGAAAAGGCAAAACTCCAGAGACAATGAAAAGACAGTAGCTGTTCAAGGATAAAGAGAAGCAGAGATGAACAGTCAGTGCAAAGGATTCAACACTATTCTGCATGATTCTATAATGTGAATACATGTCATTATAGCTACATCTAAACCCATACAATGTACACTACCAAGAGTAAATTCTGAGGCAAACTATAAATTTTGGGTAGTAATGCGGTGTCAGTGTGGGTTCGTCAGCTGTAGCGTATGTACTAGTCTGGTGCAGATGTTCATAGTACAGGGGGTAGTACATGAATGGCAACAGAGGGTATATGGGAATTCTCTGTTCAGTTGTAGTATAAAACTGAAATTCTCTGGAAAAAGTAAAGTCTACTGAAAAAATTTTAAGAGTTGAAGAGTCTCTGTAGTTGACTCCAGCTAACTACTTTGTACTTAATGGCATCATATGTCAAACACTAGTTAAAAGTTGTGTGTAATACCAACTCCAGTAGATTGTTAATATTCCCTGACACCTGGTTTTATAAAGGAAAGTATGTTCTTCCTCATAATACCAGCTTTGAAAAAGCATCCTTTAATTTGGAAAATATTGGGCTGGGAATATGGCTAAGTGATAGATCACATGCTTAACATGCAAAAGGCTATGTATGGATTCAATCCCTAGCACTTCAAAAAAAAAAAAAAAACAGCAACGCACACACATATCTATCTCCAGTGTTATCTAATCTACCTTTTGAATATATAATAGTATTATGTTAAATGTTTTTATGCATGGGCATGAATTAGCATTACTGAATTTGGGATTGACTGATTGGGTTTAATTTAGGTGTTCGAGTGTCTGCTTTTTACAATGAAGAAAACAAGAAACAGCAACAAAGGAGCATCATTGGCTTCTTACAGACTGGAAACCAAGCCTTGTCATCCACTGGGTGTTCACTAGATAAAACTGACAGAAACGAGTTTGTAAAACCTCTAGAAATGTCTCATAAGAAAAGTTTCTTTGATAAGAAGCGATCAGAAAGGATATGGAGCCATCAAGACACATCTAAGTGTGAAATTGTGGATAAACAAAGTTTACAGACCTCACAACCATTCCAAGTTTTAAAGATGAATGAGAATTTAGAAACACCAGAGAATTCAAATAACTGTCAGACATTTACTTGTCCAGTTTGCTTTAGTGAGCAAGGAAGCATCAATCTGGAAGCCTTTAATAAACATGTAGATACATGCCTTGATGAACCATTAACCAGTGAGGACTCAAAAATGTCCTCTTGTTCACGTGCTTCCTCTTCAGAAGCTTATCAGGAAGAAAATGCACACAGTTCTTCCCTTTGTGAGAAGCAGGATTGTGAAACTTATCCCAAAAATATAGAAGTCTCTTCAGTAGATGGTGGAGATTTGGTAGAAACTGAAGATAGCTCATCAAAAGCAGCAAGTATGAACACTTCAGCGAATAATTGCAGCAAGGAGGAATGTTGTAATATTATAAACAAGTCTTCCAGTCCTTTTTCATTGGAAAATGAAAATGTCAAGATACTAAGTCAGCAAGAATCCTTCCAGCCTCGTACAAATGAAGTAACAGGCCAGGCTCTAGTTTGTCCTGTTTGTAACCTAGAACAAAAGACATCAGATCTTACCCTGTTCAACGTGCATGTAGATATTTGCTTAAATAAAGGCATTATCCAAGAGCTGAGAAATAATGAAGTTAATTCAGTTAACCACCCCAAAAAAAGCTCCAGAAGTATAGGTAAGCATATAGTCATCAAGGGAAACATGATTTTCTGGGGATATGTTTTATTAAAATTAATGAGATTGTTAAATTTGAAAGATATGCTATTAAAAGGATGCCTTGTGTATGCTGTCATTTAGGAAAATGTTAGTCATCCCTCCATGGTTAGAATTAACCCAAACCATCAGTCAACTTTTGAGGTTAGGGAAAACTCCAGTTTAGCTTTGATTTAGTGTTGAATGAACATAAAAGTTGAATGATCTGAGTGATCTAATGAAAACAGAAATTCCCTGTCATTGCACATTAGCTGCATTCACATGGCCAGAAGTCCTCTGACTTGTTACTTGGTGGTACTGACAGTGCTAAATTGAAAAAATAAAGTTTAATGCTAGTATTAATAGTAAATTACAAGGAAATTATGCTATAAAACTAATTTTCTGAGGCTTTCAAGAAGGCTCAGAGACTAAAGGTGCTATTGCCAAGCCTTTTGACCCAAGTTTGATCCCTAGAAAACACAATAGAAGGAAAGAATCAACTTCCAAAAGTTGTCCTCTGACCCTCCATACTTGTGCTTCGTGGCACATGTGTTTCTACACACATACATGCACACATGCGTGCACACACACACACATTAAATAAATAATAAATATATTTTTAGGAAAATAGTTTTGGATGTGTATAAATATGAACTATATATTACCAAGGGAGGTTTTTTTTTTTGTACTGTCTTTAATCTTCAGTTTTATCTTTTTAATTTTTATATAGCTTTTAAATTATTTCATGTTTTTCCTTAAGGAATTTCTTGACTTTTCTTTCCCCAAAAGGCTGCACAGACAGAGTGCAGAAGGCTTCAGGAAGAACAAAGAGGTATGATAGAGATAGCCATAAAATTCATTTCAGAGTCAGTTTTTGCAAAATTTTAATAATCTCCTACTTATCAATTGTGTGTTCTTTTTTTATTCTAGGCCAGGACTGAGAACAAAGCACTCGACATCAAAGAAAAAAAAACCAAACAATCCCAGACATACCCTTGATATATTTTTTAAATGAAGTTTGAACATCTTATCTAATTTTTATTGAAATTTGTTATTTTATGATCAATGAATTTATTCTTCCTTGTTTTAAATTTATTCATTTAGCAAAGATAAATGGGATAATGCCTCCCCAAATAATGTTTCTTTTATAAGAATGTAGAATATATATTAATTTACTTCTTTATATTTTCTTAAATCAGTCATGTTAGGGATAACTTTAAAATAAAAGAAGTGGGGTCCAAAAATGGTATATTATTTTATAGTGAATATAAAACCATGTATATGGGCTCTTGGAGTCTCATATGAAGCAGTCTGAGCATAAGACTCTTTCGGTGCTTGACTACTACGTTGGCCCTGATCCTGCTATCTGTGCTCTTGATGTTTAACTGCTCCATGAGCATTCACAATGAAAGTGCACTGTTAAGTTCTGTGAAGAATCCGAGCGTCCCAGAACTAGCATGAGTGCTTTTTACCACAGGAAAACAATGTCACAGTACTACCTGTGTTAGAAGGACTTATGTTCAAACTATTATTTGTTCTTATTTAAAATTCTTTTATCTTATGAATAAGCACTTGGCTCACTTTAAGAAATATTTAGTCTACAAAGTTATTTTAATGTAAGACTTTTAAATGGTAGTACTTCATTTCTTAACAATGATGCTTGCACTTTCTAGATATCTATAAAAAAGAGATACTATGTATAGTCATTTTATTTTCATTCAAAATGAACAATGTACAACTCAAAAATTAATGTATATGAAAAACATCACACTTAGTTGCATACCTGTCACATTTTTATTAATATCTGTAAGAGAAGAAAGATTTACAGTAGTTAAGTTAAGTATTTACTCCATGCGTAGTGCAAACTAACAAATTCTTACTGAAAAGCAGTTATTTGATTGTATATGAAGATAGAAACCATTTCTGCTACAGCTTTAAAGAACTGAATTTTTTCTTTAAGTTCTGGCCTTTCATATTTTAGTGCATTATTTAAATGACCAGGGAAATAATATTTTTTTTTTTTCTTTTTTAGAAATAGCGTTTGAGGAATAGCTTTGTTAGGACCTTCAAAGCCTTTGGCCAAAGTAATAATCTGACTTTTAATTACTAGCTTGGGTAAGAGTAGGCTTAAAGTTTGTTGGCATACCAGTCTCATACCTGATATTATACACCATGAAATTCAAAATTGTAGTATTTTAGTTCTTGATTGTGTGACTTGCTTATGTAAATTATGTATGAAATTAAGTTCAATGAAATGGATTTAATGTATTGAAAAGTAGGTATTACTATGTATTTAATTGTTTTGCATAAAATTA